AGTTCAAAAAACAAATTTTAAAAAAAAAAAAAAAAAAAAAAAAAAAAAAAAAAGCAAAAATCACCCAGCAGAGTAATTTATTCACATTGCGTCATACATTGAGGGCCCACCTACAGAGAATTTCTAGGGAGAAGCCCTAACCTTACTGAAAAAAACCCCAACAGTATGACCTTAGATAACTTTCAGATTTTTTTTCCTGTTTTTAAAATGTAGTAATTTGTATCTTAACTCATGAGCATAAATTTAATTGTATCAAAGAACATGCATATGTTTTTTAGTTAGGTTATTTTTACAAAACGTATAGATGTACTACAGCACCAGGTGATAACTGATTGTCATAGACAACCGGACATTTGGTGTCAATGCCGTTGTCTCGGTTTATAAAATACTGATCAGTTATTTTACAGGTAAATGACAAGGAAAGGAAAAAAGTGCAATCTTCATAAAAACATAAACAAACACATACTATATTGTAATTTGCAGGGATTTTTGTAACTTAAAGATAGTGACTGTAATAAGTACAAACTGAAAGAAATTGTGATCTTTGTACACAGTATTTCCCAAGAATAAATGCAAAGTAATTAAATGCTATTTGTCCTCTGTTAAATAAAGTAATACAGGCTATTGGAAAAAATCCCTGAATAAGTGTAAGAAGTTGTTTAGGAGACTATGGGGGGAAAGAATGTATTCTTTAACTGCAATATTGAGCTAATTACAGGACAGTATTTTTTTTTATGTACATAAAAGTCAAACATGACACAGAGAGATAAATAGTTCTAGATCTAGTTAAGTGTTTTATATTAGAGTAATGTTTAAAGTTCAGTGATGAGGCAAAATGCATATTTCTAAAACTATTTTAGGTATTTTTCACAGTTCCAGTTATTTACTAACACATCATAACATAAATGATCAGTAAAACAGAGTCCTTAAGTTGTCTGACAGTTTCTTGGATGTTCTTTTTATTCGGTTGTTTGGCCAAATCACTGTTATACCAGGTTGATGCTTTAACTTTGTGTCTGGTTGAATAATATGAGCTTTAGCTGATCAAGGCTATTGCAATTCAGAAATTCTACTGAACTGATCCCTTCAGAACACTAGCGCATGATTTCTGG